AGGTTAATGAAATGTCAGTGTTGAACCTTTACTGGTCTACGTGTATGGTATTTCATTTAGCTAGTTGTTTTCAATTAAATTTAGTTTCTAATTAAAAATTAAGAATTTTAAAAAGCTTAAATAGCAAAGAAAATTTCATATACAAATTTAAATTTAAAAAAATAGTACCTAGCTCATTCTAACAGAAGGTAATCTTCGGACAAACGGTGATAAGGACCTGGAACTGGACCGCAACTCTCTAGCAGACAATGAAGATTGCCTGGTTGTGGGAGACATGAACAGCCACTCTCAGAGCTGGGGTTACCCTGACCTCAGTGCTAAAGGAAAGAAAATTGAAGAATGGCAAGCAGGAAGGCTTACACGTCTAAACAAACCTGATGACAAACCAGCTTTCTAGTCTAGAGCACGGTCAACCTCATCCATCTCAGACACAGCTTGTGCTACAAACGACACCAGCTGAAAACTTTGCTACAAACGACACCAACTGAAAACTTAGCTACAAACGACACCAGCTGAAAACTTTGCTACAAACGACACCAACTGAAAACTTTGCTACAAACGACACCAACTGAAAAATTTGCTACATTTTACCATTTTCAAATTGTTTTGTTCAGTATTTTCAATAGCTGATACCTCAACAAACGACCGGTGTGGGGATGACACCACATTTAAGTTACTATGAAAACTGCTTTTTTCCACTTGAAGTAATAGGAGGATTTACATATATATAATTCTCTTCATATAGACCATAGAAAACACCACACAGCTTAGCCACCACACTCATACCCACCTGTCAGGTGAGCTGTGGTTCACCCTGAATGTTTACAATCGTTGAGCTGGGTTAGTGACGGCTATTAGGGGCAGATAATTTAGTATTAAACGATTTGAAACGAATGGGAGGTAACAATTTCTGATTGATCTTTTCTTTGTCTGTAAACAGCTGCTTTCACTGGGAGGGAGGGGGGGGGGAGGGCGGTTCAACTCATTAATATAATTTTTGCAAAAAAAACTGATGCCACTTGTTTAGATGGAGGGGTGGGGGGGGGTGACACCAAATGCAACTTTCACAGAACAATGTTGTGATCAGAACGAAATACACCACCCACCAAAGTGGATGGGCCTGACACCACAATTGGTTAATTTAAATTTAGGCGAATTAATAAAATACATTTTATGATTCGGATATAATTCATCTGAAATTTAAATGAGCAAGATATAAGCCTACATTTTCCATATACAAATGTGTCTATGAATATAAAGGCTAGAGTTGTAAAAGTTTTTTCTTTGTTTCTATTTGATAGTCAAATATATAGCTATGCGTTTAAATCAAACTTTTACATCTTTCGTGAATAAAATAATATTACTAGTTTGATGCTGTTTTTAGAGGCGTTCGAATACAGACAATTCTTTATCTTAAGTGGGGAAAGTGTTTCTTAGTTTGTATTTGTTAGTCAAATATGTGGTTTGTTTTTAAATCAAACTTTTACATATTTTATGAATAAAACAACATTCTATTTTGATGCTGTTTTTAGAGGCGTTCGAATACAGGCACTCCCTTGTCTTATCTACAGCTCAGTCTTAATTCCTTGTAGCGAACATTTGATGCAGAAAGTAAAGTAGTTGACGGATACAAAATTGTTTTCTTAAATGTTTTTATAAATGTTTTAAGTAGAGTAACTGTGCCCTTACCTCGGATAAAATGTTAAACCAGAACTGAAATACTTTCATTCACTTTCAGAACAGTGCGTTATGTATGCGATATCTTTCTTGAATATTTAAAATTAAAAAATTGAAAATAATTCTGATGAATTAATAAATCAATTGCTAGGTTCTGAACTAGATGCATTAAACTTTTTAAACGTCCTAGACACCGGCCTTTATTTTACAAAATTTCAAAGTACACTGTTCTTTTCTCTAAACAATGTTTTAGTTTTCATTTCACGTTATTATATATATATATATATATATATATATATATATATATAAAACAATATATATATATATACATACATATTTATATATATATATATATATATAAATTATATATATATATATATATATATATATATATATATATATATGTATATGTATATCTGTCTATCTATCTATCTATCTATATATATAAACAGCAATGTATGTCTGTTTGTCCTTTATTCATTACTACATCTCTCATCACATCTATATATATATATACTGTATTTATGACATCATATTATATTATATACTGTGCCATATTTAAGGTGCCGTATTTATAGTACTGTATTAGTTCACACTTTTAAAAGGTAAAAAATACTACTATCAGTGTCGGTTTTGTGTAGGGGGGAGATGATAAGGTAAAAACTGAAACCTTGTTCAAGGTTTACCCGCCCCTGATCTGTTGGGTGATTTTCTACAAACAGTAATCATTTCACTACGTTGGTTCGTCTAGTTATCGAAATGTAATAATTTATTAAAATGCTTATGCATTTATTATAGAGACCAAACAAATGATGAACCCAAACATTCAGAACAGACACAACATTGATAAAACTAAACTTTTAAATATATGAAAATTATTTTTTTTTTATTCAGCTAGCCTTTTATTTAAATTTATCGTCCAATTAAAAATTAAGAATGTTTAACAAAGTATTAAAACAAAAATTTTTATACACAAATTTTAATATTTTTAATTTCCTTTATAGAAAACTCTAGTTCAGGGGTCGGCAACCTTTTGAAGTGGAAGAGCCAAAAGTTACAATTTTCAAAATTTCCCTGATTTTAAAGAGCCACTAACATTTTTTTAATTTCAAATATTTTATTTATTTATTAATAATATTAGTATTTGTTCAAGGAGCTGGAGAGCCGCATCTTGATATCAAATAGTTGCATGTGGCTCGCGAGCCGCAGGTTGCCAACCCCTGCTCTAGTTTATGCTTAATTCAATTATTTATTCAATTAAAAAAATAGAGCTAAACGGAGTATGCGCTAACAGTCAATACCTGAAGCAAATTGTTTGAATTGAACTTTTTCCTCATGTCTACAAGAAAATTCTTTAATTCAGCTAGCTGTTTGCAATTAAAACTTGAGCCTGATAATAATTTAAAATTACAAAACCAATGTTAGGCAATCATTTTTATAAGACTTAAAAATATTTTCATTTTAATTTACAATGTTTTATATTTTCCAAAATTATTTATGAATTTCTTTGTACAAGTAGACGTGTTTGGGATCAAAGTTATAGGTTATCCTTTTTGGTTAATGTAAATTTATAAATGGAAATTAGCGTAGGCGAATTAATTAAATAAATTTTCTTGATTCGGATATAATTACATTAATTCATCTTAAATTTAAATGAGCAAGATACAGGCCTACATTTTCGGTAACACATGTATCTATGAATATAAAGGTTAAAGTGGGAAAAATGTTTCTTAGTTTGTATTTGATAGTCAAATATGTGGCTACGTGTTTAAAGAAAACTGACATCTTTCATAAATAAAATAACATTGCTAGTTTGATGCTGTTTTTAGAAGCGTTCGAATACTTCCTTGTCTTCACTACAGTACCGTTATAACTCTTTGTAAAGAACATTTGATGCTGAAAATAAACATATTGCTGAATAACTAATAATATTTTATTGTTTAACGCTGATATTAGCTTTTCAAAGTAATTTAAAATTAACATAAAGAGTTAAACATGAACCGAGATTCTATCAACAAAAATGTCAATATTTAAAAAAAAAATAAACAAGTTCGCTATCAAGGTATGTAATCTTTCCAGTGATTAATTTAACGCCGGTACAGTGGTATCGATCTAGTAGTTAGATTCGATATCCGACATGTTAGCTTCGGTGCTTATCATGTGTTAATTAGATTCGATGATTGGTGGGATTCAACATTTTCATTTACTATATAGCCTAAATATTTATTGTATTTATTACATATTTATAGTACAAATTTAGAGTACCGTATTCATTTATAATACCGTATTTTTAGTTACCGCATTTTTCTTCATTTAAAGTACCGTATTCATAGTGCAGTATAGGGTAACTGTGTATACGTACATCAGGCTTTCATGCACAGACAAAAGTGTCGTAAAATATAAAAACATGCCAATGCCGGGGTCAGATTAAGGGTCCCGTTCAAACTTAATCCCCCGACTGGCCAATCAACAACTGTAGGTTGATTCATCTGATGAAGAGACCTTCAGGTTTCTAACAATTAAATTAGGAAATGTTCAAATGTTTTTTATTCAGATAAATGAATATTCTTTCATCTTTTGCTTGACCGTAAGTAAGTTCCCTTTTCAAACCTGACGGTCTATAGGGCAAGTGAAGTAGAGTTCACTTGTTTCCGTGACCTCGGCATCTGAACAGGTAGTGTGGTCAGCACTATGCCCAGCCGCCTTTACTTTCTCTAACGTGAGTTAGGGACCCATCAGAGTTTAGTGGACTCAGGGACGGTCTACTGACTTGAACCTGGTTTGGAACTCGAGACTTACGGGTTAGCAGTCTCTACCGCTAGACCACTCCGATCCCTTTGCTTGACCATAACTTTCATTAAATTCTTTACATCAACAGCAGCCACTCATAGACTACAAAGTTTTGGAGTCATCCATAAAATACGTCAATAGAAATTGACCAAAATACTCTGTTAATCGAGGTCACTGAATATTTTTGAAAGAAATCGATGTTTAAAAGAAAAATTAAACAGCAATTTTTAGAGAGGGGGGGGGGGGGGTTGGTATGCTGGGGTGTGATGTAATTTTAGGAGAGGTTTGGGTTTTTGTAACGAGGTGTGGCGTTGGGGAGGACAGGATTTTAAAATCCTCAAAAAAGTGTGAAAAGAAAAAACATTGCAGAATTTGGATTTCGTTCAAATTGAAGAAGAAATTAGTGATTCATGGACTTTGTTTTTGGGAACCGGCTACATTTATTTATGTTGTTATTGTGGTCCATACGTGACAACATTTATACATTCTTATGACAGCTCATAAATAAAATAAACATTTGTTTTGAAGTGACGTCACCACATGACCCATCGAAGCTTCTGGACAACCCTCCGCTCCTCCATGGGGACTTTAGGCACGTCCACCAGCACACAGCTCACGTTGGACACGTCACCTGCACGTGCATGAGCAGAAAACACACCAGTTACTGTAAGACCTCGACTTTTGCGTTGAAGACGAAATAAATATATATGTACAACATATATGTACATGTGTACATCACAACAATGGTGAGTGAATGGTGAGTAGTTAATGGTGATACGTAGGGATATGTAAATAAAGTGAGACTGCTATGATATATGTAGGAATGTGTAAATAAAGTGAGACCGCTATTGTATATGTAGGGAGAAATAAATAAAGTGAGACTGCTATGATATATGAAGGGACATTTAAATAAAGTGAGACCGCTATTCTATATGTAGGTAGAAAAAAATAAAGGTTTACGTGAAGTGAGACTACTTTGATAAGTGTCAGGATATGTAACTAAAGTAATGCTGCTATAATATATGTAGGCATATGAAAAGTAAGATTGCTATATGTATAAAGTTTAATAAGTGAAACAACTATGATACGTGTAGAGATATGTTATTAAAAGTGAGATCACTGTTAGTTATGGTGCAGTATTTTTCCCTGATAAATTAAGTTTATCTACACCCCCCCCCCCCTCCCCAACCCTATACGTAATTACTAAAACAATGAAACACGGCTCTCAGCGTGACTAATGATCCGGTTATAAGGCAATTTAAAAAGTTTACATTTCTTGAAGAGGAAATCATCCTGCCATATGCCCTTGACCAGGTCAAAGTGTTCTGTCATTAGAACCGGGTCACCTGTCTCGACATTTGACCCCCCGATCACGTGGATCTTGTCACCTGTCCAAAAAAAATTAATATTAAAATCTCCTTTTTAAAAGAACAAAAACAGAACCTGGTAAATCTAGGGATAGCAGCTCATCTAAGAGAGAAAATTCCAAAATAAAACAACAACTGCTTTGTTTGGTGGAGAGTTTTTTTGTATTTGTTGGGTCATTTCCTTTTCCAACGGCGTTATCAACACCATAACCAAAGTTATTACCAAAGTCATTTCAAACACCATTACTAACACAAACCTTATATTAAGTTACATGATCAGCCGTACATTACTATTAAGTTATATCTTCGGCAATACTCTTCTATTATGTAATGGGTTATACACTTTTATTAAGTTAAATGATCAGCCATACACAGACCCTCATATTGCAATCTCCGTGGCATAAGATTGAGATATGGAATACCAACACGGGATCGATTTTGGGCACTTCTAACTGACAGATTCGGTTCAAAGTTGGCACGTGAGTCAAGACATGAAGACAGTGCAATCTGAAATTTGACTTTATTGGATGCCTAATTATTTTTTTTTATGAATTAATTAAAATTGTGTCCAAATTAGTAGGTAGTCTTATCCAACCATTCCGCATTATTATACGCGCGTTATCACGTTCATTAGGTGCGCAGTGGTTTTTACTTTCTTGTATATACGAAGTAGGCCTATAGAGAATGTCTTGTAATCGTGCAAAAAAAAAATCGAGATGTTTTCAAATTTCGACGTTTTACAGCTCCCTGAGTCGGAAAAACACAGTTTTGCAATCTTGTCCGTATGTCTGTGTGTGTGTATGTATGTTTGTGTGTAAACACGATAACTTGAGTACCGTCACAGTTAGGTTGATGAAATTCCATATATAGTTAGTATTATATCAAAATCGTAGATCCGTATCAACTTTTGAGCGATTTCCGATAACCGGAAGTGGAACTTATTCTACTTTGAATTTTTCAAAAGCCTATAACTTGAGTACTATTTCAGATAGATAAATGGAATTTCAAATGTAAGTAAAATATCTAATTTTCTGCATTCTGTTACATTTTGAGTAATTTCCGTTGACCGGAAGTAGTAATTTTCGCTAATTCCGATTTCTCAAAAAACGCATGTGAATTTATAAAGTACTAATAATATTCCGAACTATTATGCACATTTTATTTGGCCTTCACTTGGTGTGCAATTGTTTTTTCTACGAGATTTTATTCTATTTTTAAAAAAAATAAGAATTTAAATGGATTAAAAATCATGTCTATATCCCGAGTTGCCATCCCCTGTTGTTTCATATAAGAATATTCGAGAAAGTTTAGGGGAGATCACCCCCAGTTTTTTTTTTTTGTAGTTATGCAACTCTTTTAAATTTAAAAAATGTAAAGTACTGAAAAAAATCATAAAAATCGTTTTAATAACACTAAATGTAGAAAATAAACGACACATTACTATTTAAATAGCTATAAAGAAAAGAGTGGGTCTCTTCTTAAATAATAGTAAAGGTATCAAATGGATAATAAAGTGACCCACGCTTTTCTTTAGAGCTATTTAAATTGTAGTGTGTCGTTTAGTTTCTACTTTTTAGTGTATTATAATTAGCCTTTATGATATAGGAGCTTGTTATTCGAACGATTGTAATATTTGTATGAACTTTTTGCGAACAATTATTGAAAACGAAGACTTGCATTATTTTCAAATGGTGTCACGTCACACTTTTGAATTATAAAAAAGCAATGTTAGAGAACGAATTTAGCCGTTATTTCGCGTCTTAGAAAACTGTTTTAATAAATTGTAATATGAATTGATTAAAATACTCTATGTTAACAGAGTTCAGACAAGATTTTGGAAAGAAAAATCATATTTTAAGGAAAATTCAACTTCAATTTTGAGGGGGGGGGGGAGTTGTAGGCTGAGGTATGACGTCATTTTAGAGGGTGTGGTCTGGTTTTTGTGACGATAGGAGGGGAGGGGGGAGGTAAAAATCGTACAAAAATAACGTGACGTCATTTATGGATGACCCAATAGGCTACTGAGACTGCCAGCAATAGATTTTTTTTTACTAGCAAAGCGGGCTGGTGACTAGATAATTCATGTAAAACTACTGCAGACAAGAACCTATCTTTGTTGGTTTTTTTTTTGTGTACATGAATTAATATAGAAAATATATTATAGTATATAAAAAATATATACTTTACTTTAACCACAGTCGCCCCCCCCCCCTCGGACATTTTAAACGCCCCTTCCCTGTAGAAATATGTCCGAAAAAAACCAGTTAAAGTGCTACTGTGACTACATGCTAGAAATTAACAACAAAACTTTATCTCTTTAGAAATATCATATACCATTAAAATACCTCACTATTACTAATAGTAATGTTTAATGGCACATGTTTGTCTAAAGAAACTTCAAAATGCAGATCTATATATTAAAAAAAAAATTACTTACCCACAGTAACCGCCCCTGCATTTTGTCTTGCCTGTCTCATGGGCGGTAACTGTGTATTTAACGTGGATACACTGGGTTGCCGCCCTTTGACAGGAGCGCCCGCTGGAGCAGTTGTATAGGAGAACATTCTTTTCTCTCTCTCTCTCTCTCTCTCTCTCTCTCTCTCTCTCTCTCTCTCTCTATATATATATATATATATATATATATATATATATATATATATATATATATATATATATATATATACTTTATATGTAGGTCTATATACACCTTTTGATATTATTTTATTTTCATAACTCATAAAAATATACTGGAAAACAACGTTAAACAAAATAAAAACACTATGAATAGGTGGAGTATTTATTTATAGGTTATTTTAATCAGAGGGCATTTTTGTATGTTTTACCGTCCATTAATTTGACTTAAGTGGCATTTTCTTATAGTTATTAGCCTCTAAATTGGGTAGGGGTAGTTTTATAATTGGATTTTATTATCCTAAAAGAAATAGTTGAAATACTTTAATATGTTTTGTGCGAAACATGTGTATGTTTATATATGAATACATATTTTTTCATACTTGAACCCATAAACAAATAATTATTTAGCTAATCCTAATCAAATACCTTAATATGTAAGAACAATAAATTATTATTAATGGCTCTTTAAAAACTGGGAAATTTTGCCGACCCCTGGCATAGATCAAGAGTATGTACTATTTTCAATTACATTCTTTTATTTAAAAAAAATTTGCTCTGTTGTTTTAATGTATTTTTTTTTTTGGGGATTTCTCACATTAAAGACGCATGAAAACGGTCGTCTGGTACAAGCAATAATAATGTTTCAATGTATTTATAAAAGAATGTAATTGAAAAAAACAACAGAGCTACACGGAGTGTAGTGTCAGGCATCCGAATAAATATGGCATTGCTTAAACTGAACTTTCTTATCATATCAACAAGTCAATTCTTTAACTCATCTAGCTGTTTGCAAATTAAAACTTGAGCCTGATAATAATTTGAAATTACAAAACAAAGGCTAAGCAATCCCTTTTAAAACATAATAAAATATATTCTAGTTTTGATTTACACTGTCAACAATGTTTTGTATTTTTAAAAATTATTTATGAATTTCTTTGTACATTTAGCCATTTTTGGGAGCAAACTTGTAGGTTATTCTTCTTGGTTAATTTAAATTTATAAGTGGAAATCAGCGTAAGCGAATTATTTAAAAAAAAAGTTCTTGGTTAGGATTTAATTTAATTAATTAACATGAAATTTAAAAGAGCAAGATAAAAGCCTACTTTTTCCATATACAAATGTATCTAAGAATATATAAGGGCTAAAGTATCTATAATACTGTATTTACGACACTTTATTATATTATATATAGTGTCATATTTAAATTACTGTATTTATAGTACTGTATTAGGAAACATTTTTAAACGTAAAAATATGCCAATACCAGTGTCGGTTTGGTGATGGGGGGGGGGGGGGGGGTGACAAGGCATAAACCGAAACCTTGCTCTAGCTTTACCCTCCCTGATTTGCGGTGTGGTTTTCTACAAACAGTAAATCTTAAATATAAAATTCATCAACCTAGGTGTAACGGTACTCAATTAATCGTGTTTACAGACACACACACACAGACGTACGGATAAATTTGCAAAACTATGTTTCTCCGACTCAGGGAGGTGTAAAACGTCGATATCTGTGAAAATCTCGATTATTTTTTTTTGCACGATCACAATACTTCCTTTATGCTTCGTATACGAGAATGTAAACTTATTTGTTTTTGTTTTGTTTTTTAGTTTTCTCTTTTTCAAAATCAGACATGTAATTTACAGAGTCATTTTGCCTAGTATGTTCGCTTTAGTATTACAGATTTTATCATCGGTTTGTGAGGACTGATACAGATTTACAAAAGTAATATTTCTTTCTTACTTTTAGCTTAATTTTATTCTTTTAAGATGGTTTACTTATACATAGATCCATTTCAAAACGTCTAAATATAAAAAAAAACAAAAAAAAAACAAATAACATGAAAATGCAAATGTGTAATTAAATGATGATTCAAGGGATTTTTTCCCCATCGGCTCGGTGGGCTGAGAGGTGTGTGTGTGGGGGGGGGGGGGGGGGGGAGTGGGGGGGGGAATAGGGTTTTTAAAGCTGAAATAAATTTGGAATTACAGAGAATTAAAATGATATAAATTTTAAGTATACGAGAAAGTAAATATGATTTTTTTTTTTTTTTAGTTTTGTAGATTTGTATTTTCAGCTTGCCCAGCCAATGTGTAGTGGCACTGGCTGATTTTGTTTTCTACTTTCATCATTCGACTTTTGAAGACTGTCGGAGATTTACAATTTTAACTATTCTGAAATTTTCATCCTTAATCATTCATTCTGATATTTACATATTATATACAAAAATAAAATCGTAGAAATTTTGGAAGGATAGGGGGGGGGGGGTATGTTTCCAGGAACATGAAATCTTTGCTGGTTCTGAAAGGTAATAGTTATACATTAGATGAGATTTGAATTCAATAATAGAAGTGGTAGGTTATAGTATATTTCATAAACACCAAAATTTGGCTTCAGACGCTGGTGTGGGTTTCCTGAAGTGGGAAAAGATATTGTTATTTATACAGAATATGTACATGAAAGTATATGAAACACAATATATTATATACATTAAGTAATTATAAGCATTCACACTTTCCATTTGTGCCTATCATCTGCAGACAGTCTTCGTTTTATTTTATTATTTTTTGTTTTGTTTATTATTTTATTTATTTTGGTTGTTAACAGAATTCAAAACTTTGAAAATGTATACATTCAAAACAAATTGAACAGTTAATTAAGCTTGTATTTAAAGTACGAGTCATGGAATTATAAAATTGAACGTATTTTACAGTTTTAGTAGTATATATATTGTGATATTAAGGTAAATTAAAAGGTTTATAACTCCTTCTCCGTAACGGCTGTAGTTATAATTTGGTTACCTCCCCTACTCGTTTTATTTATGTATTCATCCAGATAATAGATAAAAGGAATAATAGTTAATTATTACAGAATTTATGACAAAAACCAAAGTAAACTTAGAAGGGAAAGAAGACCCTAGAAATCGTCAGAAATGATCATAATCCGCAATATTATAAATAGGATGGTTTTGAATTAAAGTAATTTAGATATTTTGGTGCAATTGAAAAAAGGTATATAACTCAGTTTCCCTAAAAGCTACAGTATTTATTTGGTTATTTCCCTTTACAAAAAAACCCGCTACTATGCTTTAATAACATTTACCGGGATATCGGGTGCCGAACGTTTTCCCGAAAGACACTTGCCCGAATGCCGTTTGCCCGAAGGCCGAATTCCCGAATGGACCCTTGCCCGAATGCGTCACATGCCCGAATGGACACTTGCCCGAATAGGACAAATGCCCGAATGGACACTTGCCCGAAAGCGACAAATGCCCGAATGGACACTTGCCCGAATGCGACAAATGCCCGGAAGCTACTTGCCCGAAGGGGGTAAAGTAAGATTGTTATATGTATAAAGTTTAATAAGTGAAACAAAGTTTAATAAGCAAAGGGATCGGAGTGGTCTAGTGGTAGAGACTGCTACCCGTAAGTCTCGAGTTCCAAACCGGGTTCAAGTCAGTAGACCGTCCCTGAGTCCACTAAACTCTGATGGGTACCTAACTCACGTTAAAGAAAGTTAAGGCGGCTGGGCATGGTGCTGACCACACCATCTCTTCATATGCCGAGGTCACAGAAACAAGTAAACTCTACTTCACTTGCCCTATAGACCGTCAGGTTTGAAAAGGGAACTTACTTACGGTCAAGCAAAAGATGAAAGAATATTCATTTATCTGAATAAAAAACATTTGAACATTTCCTAATTTGATTGTTAGAAACCTGAAGGTCTCTGTTACAATGAATCAACTTACAGTTGTTGATTGGCCAGTCGGGGGATTAAGTTTGAACGTGACCCTTAATCTGACCCCGGCATTGGCATGTTTTTATATTTTACGGCACTTTTGTCTTTGCCTAAAAGCCTAATGTACGTATACACAGTTACCCTATACTGCACTATGAATACGGTACTTTAAATGAAAAAAAATACGGTAACTAAAAATACGGTATTATAAATAAATACGGTTCTTTAAATTGGTATTATAAATATGTAATAAAATTATTACATGTAATAAATGTATTTAGGCTATATAGTAATTGAAAATATTGAATCCCACAAATCATCGAATCTAACAAACACATGATAAGCAACGAATCTAACATATTGGATATCGAATCTAACAACAAGATCGATACTACTGTAACGGCGTTAAATTAATCACTGCAAAGATTGCATACCTTGATAGCGAACTTGTTTTTTTGTTTTGAATATTGACAGTTTTGTTGATATAAACTCGGTTCAGGTTTATCTCTTTGTTAATGTTAGATTACTTTGAAAAGCTAATATAAGCGTTAAATATTATTAGCTATTCAGCAATATGTTTATTTTCAGCATCAAATGTTCTTTACAAAGAGCTATAACGGTACTGTAGAGAAGACAAGGAAGTGCCTGTATTCGAAAGCCTATAAAAACAGCATCAAACTGGCAATGTTATTTAATTCACAAAAGATGTCAAAGTTTGATTTAACACAGGTGTCGGCAACCTGCGGCTCGCGAACCGCATGCGGCTCTTTAGATGTCAAGGTGCGGCTCTCCAGTTTCTTGTACAAATATTAATAACAGCTCAGTCCCACAGTCGTGCTTTATTTAGCCAGAACCGTGGCAACAATTCCATGCTTGCCACTTCCGAAGTGCAGACTTTTTCGAATATCGTTAAATGGGGAATGTTATTTTATTCAGAATGCATTCTTCTACCTGTCAGTATGCATTAATTTGACCTGAGTGACGTAATATTTTAGTTATTAGCTTCCCACGGTTGGGCCAGCTACTTGACTGTGGGATACGAGTAGGGTGGAAGATAAGTCCTGTGAGAACCGAAGGACAGTAGCGACCGATAAAGTAATCAAACCGATACCCAAGCCAGTTAGTCGGAGTTGACCATGTTGAGGCCTGCCCGGCTATTGGAGACGCCTCCAGATCCAGTGGTGTCCGTAAA